ATATTGCACAATTAGCCTTATGGTTGTCAGTCATCATCATTGTATTTTTTTTATATATAATCGAATTGGTTTTTTATCTATTAATCTTTATTTTGGTTTTGTTCGTTTGTTCATTTGATTATACAAACCCAAAAAAAAGAGAAAAAATAATAATAATTAAGACTAGATATTAAATTATAATGTGTATATAATATAAATAATTAACATTTTTTCGACTATCATGAGTGACCATGGCATAATCAAACGGCAAATCATGAAGTAAGCATATTGAATGATCTCTTTCTTTATCAACATATGTTACAAATCACACAGCTGTCATCTTCATTGATATTTGAACAGTATACTCGACTAGTAGGATTAGTTATTTCGTTTCTCTTGGCATATTATTCGTTGGAGAAGAGAAAAATCTTTTTCTTGTGTTATATTGCGTATTTTAACGACTACTACTACCACTATCACTGAACATTCTTTTCATTCTGTTCATTGCAATAGCTGATACGAACTGTATCGATATTACTATGAATAAATGACCGTGAATAACGAACTTTCTTTTCTTTGTTGATATGTATGCGTATAGCTTAGTACATTCTACAACACATATTCATACAGCTACTGAGTTTCTACTCTAAATGAGAATAAAATGAATACACGTGGATATAGTTAATAATTGAACAAAATAAATTGATGACATGTAAACTTGAAGTGTGATTTGCGAGAACATTACAAGTATTTTGTTCATTTTTGTTTTTTATTAAAAAGTTTGTCTATATTTTTAATTTCAAACATTCGCTATTGTTTTATGTCTCTCCAATGATAATATTCCTCTCCGTACATCGAAGATGTTGATACAATTCATTGTATATTAACTATCTGTATAAAAGTGGATCGGTTTGTGTATAATTCAGTGATTGATTGATCGAATCACTAATGAATTGGTTAGTTATTTATTTGTAAAAGAAAACTAAAGCTAAATAAAACGTATTCCCACAGAATTAGTGTCTTTGTTTTTTGTTTTTGTTTTTCTTTTCATTTTTTTCTCAGAAACACTATATATATATATAATTGTTAAAGAAGAAAAATATCTCAGAAAAGAGAACAACACACATTAGACTCAGACATGTAGAAAATGACTGATGTAGTGTGCTCTATTCCGTTCGGTATGTTTTTTTTTTTTGTTTTTTTTTTGTTTTTTTTTGGGTAAAGAAAAGAGAAGATACAGTTGTCCAGACATGTACAGAGGTGAAAAGTAGTATTTTTCTTCGTTTATTCTTCTTTGACCTCGCCTTGACTGATTCTATTACCAATATCGTATATTTAGCAAGAGTTTTTTGACGTTATTTTTATCCTTATTACTAGTTCAAATGATTTTTTTTTATTCATAAACACTAAAAAATATGATAGAATTGAACAATAATAATGGAACGGCTGTTTGTTACCTCCAGACAGGGTGAGAAAAGAAAGAACTAGTAATCTTCTTTTTTGTGCTACGACTGACCTTCAGCTATTTGTTTACAAAACTACGTTTTTTCTGAATAAATGAAACTTATATCTTCTATCAAAAATTTAAATTGATAGAGACGGTATTACTCAATGAATTACTTAAAATGTCTTCTTTGCAAATGATGAAAAAAGTTTAGCCGATCACCACGTTGTTTGATTTTCTTATGCTTTTGATTAAAAGTTTTTTTTCTTCAAACATACAGTTTTAGACAGTGAAATATCATAGGGACTTCGATTGATACGTCTGTAAAGTTAAAGTTGCGTTTATTGCCGTATGAGTACAACGTGTTTGTGAGTGTGTGTGTGTGCGTGCATGTAAGAGAGAGTCTTTATAACTTTTTTTTGTGTATGTTTTATTTCTTCTTCCTAACAATGCTTGCGGCTTATAAATTACTACAAGTTTTTCATCAAAATTTTTTTTTGCCTTTTTCTCTTTCTCTTCTTTTGGTTTTGGGGTTTTTAACGCTAATTCTGTTTAACCAGAAAAGAGGAAAGAAAAGAGCAACAAATGTTGATGGAATCTTTCTGTCGATGATATTTTTACAGAAAAAATTCCTAGAGTAACAAATCTTAGTTTCAAATACATTAAGATCAGCTCTTACTCTATGCGACGAGTAAATAAGTGGGAAAGGAAATGTATATGATTTTTTTACTTTGATCATCTTGACATCAGCACATAGAAAGTAAAAAAATGTTTATAATAAAATATTTTTTTTGTGATTGAAAAAGTGTACTTTTCTGGTTCTAAGAATTTTAATCCGTATGCAGTAGTAACAAACTTTTAAGACGTTCTTTTTTTGTTTAGAGATAAATATATATATTAAAATTACTATCCATAATAGTAAAATATTGTAGAAAGTGTCACATTGATTATTATTATGATAAAACAAAACAAAAAATAAAATTGTCAATGTTTCGATTGATTTCATCACCATCATGAATCTATCTCTATTTGTCATCTTGTTTTCAATTTATTTTTATTTTTATGTACGATATTCAAAATGATAAACAACGTTTAGAATATTTTTATCTAATAGTTAAACAATTTCAAAAATGTGTTTATACTTCATCTTTGCCAATGTTCATATTATCATAAAAACTATTTAAATTCAACATCGAATCGAATAATGATAAATTTTATTTTATAATAAATTATAGTTGTTCATTAAATGATTTGTATCTGTGTGATAACTGGCTAAAATTTGAAATCAATCTTTTAAGGCCTCTATTTGAGTACAACTGTACTGTTTGTATTATTTAAATTGTGAAGAACTATTTAATGGTTTCCTTTTACAGATATACACAATAGAAAACATACTGAGGAACAATTTACAATGAATTAATGCCATTTATTTCAACACTGTTGTAAATAATGATCAAAATTATTGAATAACTAGTGTTTCACGTATTCAATGTCAATATTCGAAATATTACAGAATAACAATATTTGAAATATTTTAGAATAATACTGTCACAACAGAAAAAATTTTGTTTTCAGTTGCCGGAAAACATTCTAATAGCTAAGAGAGAAATATTATAAAAATTTAAAAAGTTATTTCATCATCAATCGATAATAATTGTGCTATTCAACGAATAAATATATTTTACATGAATTCTTCGATAATGGTCTCGTTTATAGTCAATAATTTATTGAAATTATGTCATTAAAATTTGTGCCTATTACTTGATATTAAAGCATATAAAATTAAAATTATTTCTGTTCAATGCTAATAAAGTATTTCTGTCATTTGTCGATATGTTTTCAATTCTTCTGTTTGTTTATTCGATTTCTTATTAGATCAAGATTTTGTATATTTATTCTTATAATAGGACTCTGATATTTAGTATTTAGGCTGAATTTGAATTCGATGAAAAAAAAGCGTTCACCGATGCTGTTAACTAGTATTCTAAGAATTATTGCAAGTTATTTTGTAGCATAAAATTAATCAGTATATCATCAATGCTTTACTTGCGCATGTTATTAATGTCACAAAAATTTTGAAAATAAATCTTTCATTTTCCGTCATTTATCAATATCCTGATAAAGATATAGACTTCTTTGTTATCATTTTATTTTCCGTATTTTTTAGATTTATGTATGTCATCGCTTTGTTTTTCTTCGCAGCGATATCAACTACATCAAATAAAAGAAGTGAAGGTAGGTCGCCGCGCAGAATAGTTTATTATTTATTTATTTTTTACAGAAAGATATTTAATATTAAAAGTACGTCTCTTTCATTGTGTTATTGATTCATATGGATGATCTCAACGAATATATAATCATACATTTATATGTTTTAAAGTTGAATAGTTTATATTCGGTTTATTACATCTTATTTTACAAGTGTATATTTATTATCTTCGCACACAATCATTAAGTATCCGATGCTGCTTAAGTGGAAATCGATTGGAATGGTACAAATAATCACTGAAGAATGTAATGAAACATCTTTCAGTCAGCTACTTTCTTTTTCGACACGAATTTACTGTACAAATTATAGAGTGAACACCATCGTAATACGCAGAGACCACCTTTAGGCTCAAAACCTTAGAATTTTTTTACTGAGTCAAAATATTAATATAGAATTAATCATCTTCGAATTAATCTGTGACTTTTGCAGTCTAAGAGTCAACATCGAGCTTTGGCTTGCATTATTCGTTTCAACACAGTTCTAGTTTAATGAAAATAGTTTCTTAACGATTAACTAAGACTTTCGATTTGTGATGCAATACCGTCACGTCAAATTCATGTTGATCATAAAACAGGATTTAACGAAATCGCAGCATTATACCACGCAATGACACCATTAACGAAGCGTGCCAGTAACTTCTTAGAGAAATAGTGTTCTGCTGTGAACTTGAAAACGAAGCAAAACATTTAAGAAAAAAATGTAAAGAATTGTTTGTTGGAGACTAGTCCTCCCTCACCGTAACTCATATCAAAGTCTTATCATCCAAACTTTTCTCAAGTTTTTCTGTGGCAGTCTAGGATGAGACGGGTATAAAAAGATCTGTTCTAGATTGCAGTGATGCAAAAACAATGCATAACCAAGTTTGTGGTGAGTATTATCAAAAAACCTCAAAACTCTGTTGATTACAACCTCTTATAAATTACTAATGCTTTGTTTATTTTTTATTTTTAAGGATTTCATAGTGGTCATGATAATTGATTTGGTTTTTAAATAGAATTGACTGAGTCAACTATGTGACTTCTCTTTTCACACAAAATTCAGTTTTTTCTCTGTATTCATATTGGTGATATGCTATTGATTCTCTTCATAACTGAAGTTGTGCTTCCCTATTGAAACAGCAGGAAATTTTTTTGTGCACTAGTGGGTGTATGCCAATCTAAGCTATTTCCATATTTATTTTTAACTAAAATTTGTCATGAATTGTTGTTTTTTTTCTCTCTACTACTCGAACATAATTATGTACATAAGAACTAACTAATGTTTGTTATTCTAGATTTTTTTTTTATAAAAAAAGGTCAACGTCATAAAATGCCAACCGTGACGAACGGATCGGTGGCAGTACAACCAAGTAGTCCCAAAACAACGTCTTACATTGATGATACAGCACGAAATGGAGACGATACATTTGGTTAGTTTAATAAATGCGTCTTCGAGTCAACTTATTATGAAATAGATTGATTTTGTTTTATTTAGATCCGGATAATCCTGCATATCGTCGTGATTTAGAACGTCCACCTGATGTCAAAGAAGACATGAGACAAATGGGGCAACGTCAACGTGTGACAATGATATTAAATTCAAAAGAATTTCGAGATGAATTAGAATCAATAATTACTGATCAATTGAAACATGGACCTCATCCAGCATCATTGATTGCACTACAACAAATATCTGAATTAATTTTGCCACATACATCTAGATGGACAACAGTATCGTCATTAAGCAGAGGTAAAAACATAGTTTATAGTAAGCAGTTAGAAAAAGGATTAGTTTAAATTCATATTGTCTGTTTGAAAGATTCATAATGCAGATAGTGAAGGAGACAAATTGAGTTGAGGTTAATTTTCCACTAACCAGTAATTTACCATCATGTCAATCTTTGGTGGTATTCTTTGATATAGAAAACTGTTAGATTTTAACCTTTATGTTAAGATTTAAACAAGTAAACGCATAATATTCGCATTTCATAGTTATCCGGAATCTCTTTACTTAACATATTCAAACTGTCAGTCTTGTTGTTACCAAAATAAAAATCAATCAATCAATCAATCAATCAATCAATCAATAACCCTTTGGCTCCGGGCGACACATAAATGCGTCTAGCTGCAATTATTGCATGATCATAAGAGCTAGAATAAATTTGAAAAAAGATTTGAATAGCTGAAAGA